TATATATATATATATATATATATATATATATATATATATATATATATATATATATATATATATATGTAGAGAGAGAGAGAGAGAGATTATTATAAACATAATTATATAATAAAAATATAAAATCTCATTTTTGAAAAGAGAAGAAAATGAGACTGCTAATTGACTAAAGAATGAAATGAGACTTCTAATTAGCTAACAACATATATTAGAATGATTAGAAAAATCTAGTTTTTTTGGATAGGAGAGTAACCCTCTTAACTTATCAGTTTTGTGCACTTTGATCTATAGAGCTATTTTCGTATTTCAGTAGTTTAGTTAATATAATCTTATTTTTAGAAAAAAAATAAATCTCATATATATATATATATGTGTGTGTGTGTGTGTGTGTGTGTGTGTGTGTGTGTGTGTATGTGTGTTGAATTTCGGATTTTGATGATCTATATGTTGAGAAAAACTGTATAGCATTAACTACGATAGTGATCAAGGCATAAAGCAAAACGAAGTGTCGAAGTCAAAATTTCATTGGGAGTTCGAGAGTTCATCGGGAGTCCGGAGGTTCGTTAAAATTGCTGTCGGAATTGACCAAGAAGAAGCTTGTCAGAACTTACTAAGAAGATTATTGTGAAGTCCAAGAGCTTGCTAAGAGTCCGTTGGGAGATTGCTGAAAGATCGTCGAAAATCTGTTAGAAGATCGTCAAAAACTCATTGAAAGAAACCTAGGCTTACTGGACTTGCTTTGTTTAGTGTATGCCTTAAAAATTATAGTTAACATATAATTAGGATTATGATTAGGAGATAATCTCATGAACCCTGTTAAGGGCCAATTGGGCTCATAATTGGACTAGTTTGGATCAAATTCAGGGCCCAAATAGGTTGTTGAACCTTATTAAGTAGTGGCACCGCCCATGATGGACAGTGGAATCGCTTGAGGCTCATCCTCCTAGGTGGTTTAGGCGGTGGTATTGCCTAGACTGAACAGTAGTACCGCCAACAGTTATTACTGCCAATACTACCAAAGCCTAGTCTCTTATAAACTTATTTGATTCAAAACGATTTTTCAATACTATTTTTATCGAACTAAGGTTTACGTATAAAGTTTTTCCGAAATTGATTAAATTTCTTGTATTTTTTTTCTACTACACTAATTCACCCCTCGTTTTTTATCCTAATAATATATTCCGTTAAACTAGTGATTTGTTATTGGAGAAAATAGCAACAGGTATTTTATTAGACATGAATATTTTTAATTTTTTTTATAAATTTATATAATTTTATTAATGTAATGAGTAATAGATTTTGATTGTTCGCCATTCAAATATTATATATATATATATATATATATATAT